CTATAACCTTTTTTTTTTTTTTTTTATTCAAGAATGTGGTTAACAATGAGAGTGACACATTTGGCCAGTGAAACAATACAAAATGACAGTGTTCAGTTTGTTAGTATAGTTTAAGAATAAGTTAGTGGACTAAGGGTGGTGGTCCAGATATAGTCTTAAGGACACTTTCACACTGATCCATAGTAAAAACGAATATGTGTTTTTGCCACGATTTTACTGAGATTGCGGTGCATTTTTCACAGCACATGTGACTCAAAAACGCAACAGGTGTGTTTTTGATGTGTTTCGATGGGGGTGGTGCGTTTATTTAACTGACCAAATAAACTCCAAAAACGCGGCAAGCAGGATTTTTTACACCGCAAAGGACCAGTGTTTAGACATACATAGGGAAGCATTTTTCTTCAGCATTTCTCGCGCTTTTTTTAAAGCGGACGTGCTTCAAAAGCTCAGTGTGACAGCAGCATCTAAGTATAGTTTAACTATGAAGTAGAGGTTTACTTAGTGAAGTAGCGGTATACTGGGTCTACAAAAGAATATCAAAAAGTACTTGAATTGATGGTGCTCAGTCTGATCTGGCATGTGTTTGTGACTGCCAACGTGATCAATGTGAGTGCAGAGAAAGTTCCATTATTTAATCTCATAGACACTTCAGTATCAAACGTGTGCTAACAAGAAAATGTATGGTGCCTATAGGCAAGTTCCATTGCATGTCATGATATATTCTGCTGTACTAAATAATACAGCAGCTTATTTTATCTCAGTTGTGAGCTATCTAAATTCCTGCTTCTGAGCCCGTCTTTGTCCTGCTTGGAGTTTAACATACATCTGTCTGTACCATAATACAACAACAGCACAGACAGTAGGACCCTCTTATTGCAGCCCCATCGGGTGGGTGGAGCTGGGAAGACCGATGCAGAGATTTGATTACTGAAGCTGGTGGCCTATTCAACCAAATAAAAGTGATACTCGTGAGCTAAAATGTGATATTCTCTTTGTGCAACAATCTTATAAAATTATGAAATATAACAAATATCAAATTAATTTGTGATGCATCAACACTGAACACACTCATAATTTGTGTGAAATATCAAAATAATAGTGAAGTGTGTCGCGCTTCACAATGTGTATTAAATCAATAATAAACATATGACTAAAAATGATATAAACGTGAGAAAACCATGTGCTTCAAACAGTGCAAAATTCTGTGCAACAAAACAAAACAAAAAATATAAAAATATGTGCACAATCATAAATTATTATAAAGTCCACTTTGTGCTTCAAATCTTGCCAGTGCCAATAAATGTTCCGTGCAACACTCCCGGTGCTAAAGAATAGGTGTACGCTCACCTTACCTATTAGCCAAACTAATTGGCTAATATCGCTTTTGTCCCATCAGGACTAAATGGTATTTTCCATGCTGGGTGCTTATTTCCACATACAAAAGGAAAGGCTTGTGTTACCAATTTTCTCCCACCAGGGGTCTCCCTCACTCCTTTCTATCCACACTGATCCTTGGTGGATGGATGGGGCAAAGACTGTGTGCTGCTTCCACCTCCCTGTAATGGGGGATAACATAGAAGAGGAAGTAACAATAGTGCCTTATCCTTTTTTAAAAATAGATGCTTTTATTACAAAGAAAATTCGCACTCACACATTCCAGTGCTATTACAGACGATTGAACTGTGCCCAGATTCTCAGTTTGTATTTGCCGCTTCTCCTGGTGGGAGGAAGTTGGTAACACAAGCCTTTCCTTTTGTAGGTGGAAATAAGCACCCAGCATGGAAAATACCATTTAGTCCTGATGGGACAAAAGCGATATTAGCCAATTAGTTTGGCTAATAGGTAAGGTGAGCGTACACCTATTCTTTAGCATCGGGAGTGTTGCACAGAATATTTATTGGCACTGGCAAGATTTGAAGCACGAAGTGGACTTTATAATAATTTATGATTGTGCACATATTTTTATATTTTTTGTTTTGTTGCACAGAATTTTGCACTGTTTGAAGCACATGGTTTTCTCACGTTTATGTCATATTTAGTCATATGTTTACTATTGATTTAATACACATTGTGAAGCATGACACACTTGGCTATTATTTTGGTGACTTATTCAACTCTTTATGTTCAACCAAAACTGAAAAAAAAATATATTATATTGAAAAGAAATATTGTTTTTGTGGACTGAGCCTTTTATTTCAAAAAATATATTCTATTAACAGACACTCCATTTCTTGTCATTCCTTCTCCTTTTCACTGGTATCCAAAGTCAGCGGGCTACGTGGGGATAGCTGAGAAAATTCATACTGATCATATGGAGAATGGATGAAGATTGTTCCTGTTAAGATTTGGAAAAATATTTTCAGAATCACTGCAGAAAAACAAGCCTCTTCTTAACAGTCTTAGATCCAGTTAGAAACACAGTTGGAGGCATAGAGAACAATAATATGACACTTATGTCAAACAAAGTACATTACTAAACCCCTAAAATCTGCTGATAGCTACTAAGGGCTGCTGCGCACCAATCCTTTCTGCACCATTATTAAGTGGGAATTCAAGCTACATTGCTAGGACTGTGGAAGACCTGGGGCATACAGAGGGAAGGCCCAGAAAATTGTGTGTGTGGCTGGACCAAGTCTAACAATCAGAACAGTTTAAAGGGGTAATTGTTTAATGGAGTCTGAACCTACTCACTGAATACACCGCACACCTCTCCTGGAGTCCATATACCCACAAAATATGCTTTAATTCCTGTGCCACAAGGGAGAGTCTCATAGGCACATTTACATTTCAGGACACAGGATCATTAAAAAAAAAAATTTAAAACTTGTTCATTACATATGATTTGCACACACAGAATATAGGCTGAGAACACTGATACTAGCTTAAAAATAATATTTTAATTAACAAAAATGTGCAATCAGCAACTGTTGAAAAACCTTGGTAAGAAGGCATGTAATGTACAACAAAACATTTGGAGTAGAGTAGCCAGAATAGAGCATGTACAACCCTATGTACAGAATGAGATCATGAGAAATAGGGAATGTACAACACAGCATGCAGATTGGGGCAGTGTAAAATAGAAAACATACAGAATGAGACAGTTTGAAATAGTAAAGTACAACAAAACATACAAAATGAGGTGCTGTGGATTATGGAAAATACATTGCAGAATACAGGAGGCACTGTGAAATAGTGAATGTACAGCACCGCCTACAGAATTAGGAAGGGTGGGACAGGGAATGTACAGCACCGCCTACAGAATTAGGAAGGGTGGGACAGGGAATGTACAGCACCGCCTACAGAATTAGGAAGGGTGGGACAGGGAATGTACAGCCTACTGAAGCAATGCAGAACAGGAAACCTACAGAACAGCCTGTTGAATGAGGTGTAGTGAAACAGGAAAATGTATAGTGCAGCAAACTGAATTACGTGGTTTGGACAGTGGTGTGGAATACAGTGCAGCAACCAGAATGAGGAACAGTAGAATAAGAAGCTTACAGCTCAGTCTACAGAACAATGCGGTGTGAAATAGGAAATGTACGGTGCAGCGAACTGAAGTAGGTGGTACAGCTTTACTGCAGACCCCTTTTTGTTTTTAATAAATAAACAGGTATATTCTGTTTACAAACCTTAGGCTTGGTTTATACATGTGTGTCGGGGAATGGGTCAGCCACAGCAAAAAAAAAGGCTCAGGAACTTATTTCCCACAGGTATAGTAAGGCCTTTCAAATGAATGGCTGCTGTGCCCACGCATGCACAGCAAGCAGGACCAACAAGTGTGAACCTAGCCTTATGGCAAAGATGCAGAAGGTTCTTGGTAGATTACTGCTCCACTTACTTTGAGGCTCCACAAGTAATGAAAGCGTCAGAGGATTCAGAGACAGCACACTTCCTGAACCTAGAACGGATCATCTAACTGCTCATTCTTCTGTTCTAGCTGCCTGCTGCTTCTGGAACACTAACAACCACTCTATCTGAGGTCTGGCAAGCAGTGTGAGTAGCATCTACAGTGGGGAGGTGCTGCAGCCAGATCCCTCCCAGAGAAAGGAAAATTAAAAAAAAAAAAAAAAATGGCAGTTGTGATCTCAGGTTTGGGGCATCCATGGAGAGGTGGACAACATGTACCCATGCTGTCTAGTGACACCCATAATTTCATCTTATATTTTTACATATAAAAAAAAAAGTGCCAGACTTTTAACTGTAGGTTTAAACTGTAAATGAATGGCATATAGGCTAAAAAGTGATATGTATCAAACAATCTATTGATGACAACAGTGGAACAGACCTTTGTAACATGTGAAATGGCCACTTGCATTCACCATCAGAGGAGCATATGATAGGGTAATAACAAAGCAGCACAAGTAGATTTTTAATGAAATTTATTTCATGAAAGCTGCAGATCTATAAATGATAAAAATGAGTAACATGTAAGCCTCCCTAGCGGTCTGATTATGTCCATATTTCTGTGCTGAAAGCGGTAAATTTTTTTGCATGGAAATATGTATTTTGTTTTATTGTAGGCCTGTAATTTTTAGGAATAACTCGCTGAAATCTGTCCGAACAAGAGTCTAGTAAACATCCCGGGTATGATAAAATTTGAAACACGAAATCATAAATTATAATTTAATAAATAATCATAAAAAATATAATAATACATTTAATTCAATAATATAATCAAACCAAAAACAGTGAAATTTGAAATATAGCGCCAAGTTCGCACATCGCTGAGCAAAGTCGCAAAATCATTTTCAGTGTCTGATGATGTATTTCCCCACAAATCATTATCACTCAATTCCGCAAGTGGTTCTGATTTACTATCGCTGTTCTCTAGCTGGTCTAAAACCGATTTTGACCTAAAGGGACGCTTTTTGGACGCCATGGACGTTTCTCAGTTTCCAGGCAATAAGAACAGTAAAAATGCAGGCAGGGCACAGGACAAAGCATTAGGGACAAAATGTATGTGAAATGGTTTGATACAGTAATGTTTTACTATGTGATTGTAGTGTTTTTAGTGAATGTCACTTTTTGTCATTTTTTTAAATTTCCCGCCAGTTCCGTCCCCCGTACATCCCGACGCTCGCAGAGGATGGAACCCAGATGACAGATGCCGGCATCCGCCGGATTACATTGCAGGGGACACTGCAGGAGGGACATCGCGGGAGCTCAGGACAAGGTAAGTGAAGAACAGATCCCCGAGCAGCGCCGCATGGTAAGCCCGAGTGTAGCTCGGGGTTACCGCTTTTGGTACTGAAACTTTACCCCGAGCTACACTCGGGAATACCGTCAGGGAGGTTAAAGTGAATATGAGACTGGATCTAAGCTAATTTAATGCAGATACTAACTGATAATGATGAGTTAGGATCTAAACAATGAAGCTAAATGATGACATTTCATTTTATTAAAAGCACTGTGTCAAAAACAATTACCTTGGCTTTTTTGTTTTGGTTTGTGTTTTTTTTTTTTTTATTAATACCTTTGGACCCCTGACTTGTTTGCCAGTAAATGCAAGAATGTAAACTATCACCCTGGGAAAGAAGAGAAAAATACTTACATTTCCAGCAGGCAGTGTTCTTAAACCTCATTGTATGGCAGATCTCCGGCTCTACTGGTACGTGACACTTCAAGAAGTGCTGAACACCTAGTCCTCTGCATGTGCTGTGGTTCCTCACATCAGCCTCTATGTCACTACAGGACACAGGGCACAATGGTGATTTAGGGGTCAACAGAAGGAACCTTAGTACCCAAACATGATATTGTACCCTCCAGAGTAGGATCACTTTTCTTCTGATCCTACAATTATTTCTTCAGGGAGCCTCAACTCTGCTTCCCTAAATGCCTGAACATTTCATATCCTATAACTGAAACATGGCATTGTGAGAACAGTTGTAAGTTTTATCTGAAATGTTAGTTGGTGTTTAGGGGATATTTAAATGGGTCTGCCCATTCTCCTCTGACATCAACAAGGCATTTTCATCCACACAACTGCCGCACACTGGATATTTTCTCTTTTTCGGATCATTCTCTGTAAACCCTAGAGGTGGTTGTGTGTGAAAATCCCAGAAGATCAACAGTTTTTTAAATACTCAGACCAGCCCATCTAGCACCAACAACCATGCCACGTTCAAAGCCACTTACATTCCCATTCTTCCCCATTCTGATGCTCGGTTTGCAGTAAGTTGTCTTCACCACATCTAGATGCCTAAATGCACTGAGTTGCTGCCATGTGATTGGCCGATTAGCAATTTGTGTTATTAAGCAATTGAACAAGTGCACCTAATAAGGTTGGTGGTAAGTGTATAAGTTACTAGCAATAAGATAAAGTATATAATTAATGTATATTTTTCATTCCAAGGCATTTTCAAGTGTGCAGGAGAATTCTGCAAGCAAAGCAATGCTTGGGTTCAAAAGTTGGTTGCATCCTGGGTGCTTAGAAATTGGACCGATAAGCAACATTCTGTACTGTAATAAATTGAACTGTGCCTGTTGCCCTGAAGCCCATGCTTAATCAAACTCCAGTTACACATCTTAGCTGTTGTACTAAAGTCTATGGACTACATAAAAATATCCTACCAGGTACAAAACTATAGATTTATCTATCCTAATCCAGAGAAAAGTGGGATCTCACACTGAAATAGACGAGATGGATTATCATTCACTGCTTTAATTCAAAGCTTTACTGGAATTCACTAGCGTAACCATGTTATAAGTTTTATTGTGCCCTGCTATTTTTTGGCATTCTTCTTTGTCTTTGAACACAAAACAGATTCTTTACCACTGCATAAAGAAAAAGGGCAGCTTAGTGCAAGATATCCATACAGACCAGAGTTATCTGGAAGGAACCTTCTACTGGGCAGTAAAAAACCAAATCATTTTTCTTGGTCAGCAATGATCATCTCAGACTGCCTGCTGAAATTTGAGAATGCCCATAGACATGGCACTGCCTACTATGGTCTTGAGCCCAGCAATATTCCATTGTTACATAGTCGTTAGGGTTAAGTCTAAGAGTTTTATTTTTAATCCCTTACACAGTATAAGATTGAACAGCTTCTCGTCCAACTTCATTGTCTACTTTAAGGACCTTAGGTAAACAGTTTCCTCCCAATGCTAGAGTCTTCATTTAAGGCTTTGTATATTGCGATCAGGTTAAGCGTCTTCTCCATTCCAAAGTGTTTGAGGAAGGGTAACTGTACAAACTGTTTTTTTCTTTAAGTATTAAGAAAATTGGTACATTATGGGTGGAAAACTTCAAGCCCTAGGGTGGTACAAGACTTCAAACATGTTTTGATGAACTTACTTGAAGTAGAAATTAAAGGGGATTTCTTACTGGTTGGTTTAGATGTGGAGCTGTCATATGCTTCAATTCTCAACCAGGTGGAGTTGGAAGCATGTAATGCTCTACTTGAGACGGTTCCCAAATTGTTTTCCGCATAAATTCAGGTGAAACTCGAAAAATTAGAATATCGTGCAAAAGTTCATTTTTTCAGTAATGCAATTTAAAATTCAAATTTTCTGAGATTGTGGATTTGGGGTTTTCATGAGCTGTAAGCCATAATCATCACAAGTATGACAAATCACGGCTTGAACTGTCTTGCTTTGCATGTAATGAGTCTATCTCATATATTAGTTTCACCTTTTAAGTTGCATTACTGAAAATAAATGAACTTTTGCACGATATTCTAATTTTTCGAGTTTCACCTGTAGTGGGATGGATATGCTACGATTTGTACTCTAAAATAGTTTTTTCATTTTTAAATGGATGTTGCGCTGGTGGCCTAGACACACACTCCTTGGGCTTTGTTGGTATTTTAATATTTATTCTATCCTTAAGTACCAAGTATTTTTTTGTTTGCTCATGGCAGATTAACAAAGCAAATCTATTCAATCTTCTTCAGAATATCTACAATAAAATACAGCTACAGCTTTTATGGGGTCTTTGGCTGTACTGTGCCCCCTAACAATGTACATTTCTTCTGCATGCTGTTGAGTGAGCAGCCGCACCAGAACAGCACTTTTTCTGCGTTCATTCTCTGCATTTGTTTAAATGTGATGTTATCTCTCACACATAGGTCATCAATACTGATGTCATATATGTGTTCATAGCATTAAAACAGCTCATGTCAAGGGCACAGTGGACTAACTCAAAGCTGCTGACGGCAATACAAAATGTGTGTTTCCTCTTATCGCTATCATTATTCATGTCATTATTATTTAAAAAGTGTCAGTGCTGCTGTCCCAAACAACTTCACTTGTTGGACACCATAGATATGAGGAGGTAGCTGTGAGTGTGCGGACGGTTATCAGTTAGATGTGTTCTCAGCCCTGCCCAATTCTATCCATGGACTACACATTACCTACTGTCTATTCTATGGGTGAGGTTAAAGGGAAGTGTGGTTCAAAACAGGAGTGTAGGGTAACAACACTGCTTGTTCACAAATACATTATAATGGGTGAGTGTTGGCACCAAAGCTGGATGATTAAGGTGGTAAATAAACTCACTTATTGCTTGGTGTGCATTAAGTTAGCCTCAGAACCTGTATAATTAATGTGTTCGGTTTTTTAAAGGCTTGAGGTGGCAACCATAACAGGAAATGTGTTAAAGCCAGATGAAAATAAAGGGGAAAAAAAAACAGAAATGGAAAAAATAATGCAGCCACCAACATCTAGACACTGGTAAACCTTAGATACACTTTAAGGAGACTGTACAATTATATTGTTATGTGTTTTGGTAGTGTAAAGCTCTCTTAGGCCTAGTTAACACTTGTTGTCAGGAAATGGTAAAAATAGGCAGTTGAGTTGTGGTATGACTGCCCCCTGACCGCCCCCCTGAACCCAAAGAGGCAACAGGACAGGGATGTACACACGACACGGCAAGAGTTATATTCCCTGCCACATTCGACAGGCAATACTGGCACCAAGTGCAGCCCACCCAAGTGGATGCAATGCACTTGGAAGTGGCGTGGCAGTGCTTTATATGGTTAAAGCAGGAAGTGAGGAGGTGACATAATTCCTCCAAGCCACCTGTAAACGTCCTTAGAAAAGCAATCCACCACAAATCGCTCTTAAGAGGGAATGGCAAGTGGAAATGAGGCTTAAGGCTTCTCTACACATAGTCCTTAGCTTGTTATTGTTATTATTATACAGGATTTATATAGCACCAACAGTTTGCTCAGCGCTTTACAATATAATGGGAGACAATACAGTTCGATACAAGAGGGTTTGGAGGACCCTGCTCCTTGGAGCTTACAATATAAGACATTCTCATCTATTGAGAACATTCTTACCTCCGAATGCACAGGATGATTTACTTGTTCCAACTGCCTTCCATGTGTTGATGTACCTTTAAAAAAACAAAAACATATGTTTTATATATTTTTCTGTTGTTTGGGATGAAAAGCTAAATATTAAAATAGTATATTCTGTATTGAATACTACTACAAACATCTGTACAGTTCATTACTGATAGCAGCATGGAGTCAGAGGAGTTATGTGTGGACAAAAAGCATTCGTGATAATTTTATCAACCCCACAATGCTACTTTTTTACCTGTCCCGGGAACAAATTTAGGATGCACAGATTTTTAGACGTGTGATTCATTTTGTTATGAATCAAAATGCGGACTAAATATTCGTTAATAAGAGATTCGGATGTATCCAAATTTTTAAATCACAATAGTAACGAATTTCAACGAACCTGAAACAATTTATAAGGAAACTAATTATCCAAATTCGAATTTGAAAATTTATTTGAATTTAAATTCGAAAATGAATTTGAAATTGAAACATATTGCAATAAATACAGTAAGATATAAAAGTGAAATAAGATGATAACTCCTACTTAGGATGCTTTATAGAACAGAATAAATCAGAATAGAATATAAAAAGGATAGAACAGAATAAAACAAGACAATATAATATAAAGGAATAGAATAGTTACATAGGCTAGTTGAAAAAAGACACAAGTTCATCTATTTCAACCAATAAAAAGGAAAAAAAAAAATACCCTATATACACAATCATATACCCACAGTTGATCAGAAGGAGGCAAAAAATAAAAACAAAAAAAACCCAGCAAAGCATGATCCAATTTGCTGCAGCAAGGGAAAAAAAATTCCTTCCTGATCCCCCTTTAGAAACCGCAGCTTGGAATTGCATGCCATTAGTAAGCTTGTGAGTTTTTTAACCAACACGGGCGAAAAACAAAAATGCATGGTTTTGTTTTTTTACGTCTTTTTATCTATTGACTATAAAGAAAATTAGACAATTCTTGCGATAACACCACAACAATACTGCCAAAAGAAAGCCTAGTTTGTCACCAAAATAAATTATGTATTGCTGAGTCAACAGTCACATTGCAGAAGTCTACAAATTGCTCTGGTCCATAGGGGGTATAAGGTACGAGAGCTGAAATGGTTATGATGCTAGACTAAAACTCCCAAAAATCCCTGGGCAGAAGGGCTGCATCCTTTGTACATGATCTTGTGAAAACTTTAGAATTTGACTTTTTAAAGGCCACCCCATTTTTTGGTAGATACTGGAGAATGAAACCACCTGACAGGGTCTTATTTCTCTTTATTGTGCTTGAGGTCTGCATTTCTCCTGAGAGGCTCCTGCTCTCCCTGGTGGATTATCTGTTTTATACTAAGGTGATTACAACAGGAAATTTGGACCATGTAAATGAGGGCAGGAACAGCCAACACTGGACAGGTATGGAGTCATGAATTGTGGTAGGAAGATTTCTTTGCTGAAGCATTACAAGGCTCCATCATACCTAAAATATCACATTTAGATGGAGTGCCCCTTTAACCTGGAGAAGAAAGAATTTGATGGAAGCTTTTTTTTTGTTTTGTTTTTTTTACATGTGCTGTATGTGAAAATTTGCATATAAACCAACAAAATCAGTTACTATCATCCTTGATCAATAGTCGTACTTCCACCAGCACATCGTTTCCGCTCTAGATGAAAAAAGCAGTGCAAATCCCTCAGAGTGCTGCAGCATATTACTGTTTAAAGAAGAAATAATGTGTTTTCACTGCACATAATTCAAAAAATGTAGCAGCTCACACAGAGTAAGCACATATATCCCTACGGGTTTCTCTTTTGCTAACAAGTGTATCTGAGTGTATATTTTCTTTACTGCCACAATACAAGCTCCCAGAACTCCAGTGACTTTCTCCTTCTGGCACACGGATTAGAATTCTTTTCCTTGTTGTCAGCAGTTAAAGCCCAACTGAATCTTCAGTTCCAATCAGCTATATACCTCCCAGGTGCATTAAAACAAAAAGGACTTTAAAGGAGAATAGGATTTTAATGTTTATATCCTTTTCACCCCTTTCCTATTTTGGTGGTATTTAATAACATTGCATTTTTTTGTTTTTTTTCACCAAAAAGACCGAATATTGATAAAAATAAATCCCTATACTGTCTGTTAAAATAAAAATGCCAAGACAGTACGAACACCCTCAAATTGACCCCCTTTTTGGAAAATAGTTCATTTGAAAATGAACTAATTTTTTTGCCACAATTTGTTTAAAACCTTGGTATTGAGGGGGCTATAACATGAAGCTTGGTAATGGTGCACTAAATACAGTGCATACAGATCATACATAGAGAAAGGAAGTGTTGAAGGGGTTAGTGTATAGGTCACATACAGTGAGAAGATGATGAGGCCTGTGTGCACATGTGCAGAACAAGGAAGGTGTAGGGTTAAGTTACAGATCACCCACAGACAGGATAGAGATCAGATATATAAAGGGATGAAAGGGTTAACAAAAAAAACTTGACTTGAAGCTGCTGCCATGATCTGTGCTGTGATGAGGAACTAACAAATTACTCATTCATTAGTTAATTTTCCCCCCATCCTTCACTGTAAGAGGAAGGGGCGGGTTTACAGATGTAAACAATTATTTGTTTACATCTGTGCTTGCTGTGACCAATCACGACCACTTGAAAGTGCTTTATCCAGTGCCATGTTTAAATAAACATTTACCACTTTGCCATTTTTAGACATACGGCGGTACACAAAATGGTCATTGTCTTACAGCAGCCTACTCAGCCTGAGTAGAAAGCCTGTTCCCTGCAAGCAGCTAAACAGTAGAACCCTTACTCTCTGTATGCAAGCAGTGGTCTCTCGCACCCCCAGTGAGTCAGACCTATAGCTGTGCAATCACCAAAGCTCTTCCTCCCTTCTGATTGGAGAGCTCTGGCTTTGACTCGGGGGGGGTCGTCAGAGAGAGACACAGAGAGCAAAGGTCCCACCCTTCAGTGTGCTGAGGCTTTTCTACTCAGGCTGGCCCTGTTTTCTAAAGAAAACTACTTTGAACTTCATTTGATGTACCTGGAATGTTTTTGATGTTATAAAATTAAACAGTAATTAGGCTTTAACCGCTTCCGCGCTGCCCTATAGCAGAAATACTGCTACAGGGCAGCGCGGGTGTGCAAAATCACACATATATATATATATATATATATATATACGTGATTTTGCAGTTCCGGGTAGGGTGCGTGCACACGCGCGCCCTAACCGCGCCACCATTCGCGGGTTCCGGCCCATGATTACTCATCGGCACCCGGTGATTTCTGAGTATCTCCGACAGAGGAGAGACCTGTGTATAAACAAACACAGATCTCTCTCTCCTGTCAGCTCCTGCAAACTACTTTGTATGGCTCTGCATAGCAGAGCCATACAAAGCAGCGTGCTTACAGTGGAAAGCACTTACACAGCATACTGTGAAACAGCAAGCACACAGTTAACCCTTTGATTGCCCCACATGTTAATTCCTTCCTGCTCAGTGTCATTAGTACAGTGTCAGTGCTTTTTATTAGCACTGACACTGTATTGGTGCCAGTGACACCGAGTCAGTTCCCCCTAGTGTCAGAATGTCCGCCGCAGTCCTGCTAGAAGTTGCTGAACGCCGCCAGTACTAGTAAAAAAAATAAAATAAATTCCAATCTATACAGTCATTTGTACATGCCATAACTTTCACGTAAAAACAAATGAATTTACATATATTGGGTTTTGTTTTTAGCAAAGACATGGAGCAGAATACATTTTGGCCTAAATTCCTAAATTTATGACAAAATTAGATTTTTTAAATTTATTTACTGGATATGCTTAATAGCAAAAAGTTACAAATATTTGTTTTTTTTTCTCAAAATTGTTTAAAGCGCAAAAAAATGAAAAAATGCAAGGCAATCAAATACCACCGAAAGAAAGCTCTATTGGGGGGGGGGCACATAAATTTCATTTGGGTGCGACGTTGCATGACTGCGCAAGTGTCAGGTAATGTAACACAGTGCCGTATCGCAAAAAAATGGCCTGGTCAGGAAGGGGGCTAAACCCTCCGGAGGGCAAGTGGTTAAAATGTATTTAAATCCAAAACTTTTTCATTTTGTGTAGAGGATGGTTATTTTTTTGTCTCATTTGAAAGATTGCCTTTCACTTCCTGTTTGCCCTATTTTGGATTCTCTCTTTTTCTTTTGCAAATCATGAAATCATCAATAAAACCTTTCATGGGGTTTTAGCCCCTCACCACTTCATCTAAACTAAAAAGAAAACCGTTTTGGCTTTAGGTACATTTTAAAGTGAAGTGCTAGCCCTACTTGCATAGGCAGCAAGTTATTTCACAGCTGAAAGCAATCAATATATTTACTCCTCATAGTTAAGTGCATTGGTCCAGTTCAGCAGCTCATCCACTTCCCAGTCCAGAACAGCTTGGGTGCCATGTTGTTCTACAGACTGAATCACACCTTGTGTAGCACGCTGTACCAGGATGGTGGTGTTGGGGTCTGTAGTCTGGGCATGAAGGCTTCCTTCATAATACCTAATGTAAAATAATACAAGATGTACACCAATGTTATGGGGCAATTTAAATAGATAATGAAAATTGCAATATGAATGCACAAAATGTAGAAACCTACAGCCAGCAATCAAAAAGTCTATAGCAGTAAAAGATGACTTCTGATTGGTTGCTTTGTAGTACTGCACTTTGGGCACAGCTGCTTGATTTATAAAATAAGTCAACAGTAACAGAAAAATATATACAAGGTATACAATTAGAATTGTAAAAAGCAATGACAGCAGAAGTGACTCTTGCAAGAATAATGATGTCACTGAGCCTGGCAACCGGCGTAGTGTATTGGTTGAGTTGTATTTCACTATAAATTGCCTAGGCTACAATGCACAGACATCAAACAACTGTATTGGCCTTCAGATAAATCCCTGCAAAGTCTTAGACCCATATGTACACAAGAACTATATAAGCCCCCACCAATGAACCTAAACCCTGCCAATGTCAAATGCCAGAGCCTTTACTGGTGATTGAGGTTCTAGCATTTGACAGCTGAATGTCAGGGGCAGGGCTTAGTGCTGGCATGGGGCAGAACATCTAGGATAACTAAATCCAAAAAACAAGAATTTTATATATTGCAGCGTTTCAGTGCGTAGAGGTGGTGGCTGCATTAGTTTTTATTTTTTAGGCTATGAAGATTTTCAGAAAGTACAGAAAATAGCAGTTGATCTTGTGAGAAATGCAGTTTCTCTTTAACTTCCTGTTGAATTCACAAACTGTTATTTTTCCTATTTTCTGCAAACTACAAATCCCCCTTTCCCCATGTAATGGGAATAAAGAAAAGAGGATGGGTTTGTAGTCCTAATAAGGATTGCAGCCTAGTGTAATAACCATGGCTGCCCCCATAGATACAGTAGAGGAGTGTAGCCACTCTAAGACAGAAAGCAAGTTATCTGCTGGATTTCCAGATGAAAATTAAGGAAGCAGGTCCTAGAAAAAACAAAAGGGAAACAACCCACCTCATCTAAGGACACGTAAGCTGCTATATACACTATTACATTTTAGTTGTGGATTTTGATACACTTTAAAATCAACTTTGGGGGAAGTCAAGGCCCTGTGCAAAGCCTGGGTCCAGGCAACAAGGAGTGATCTGAAAATAACCCAGGTATTTGCAGGTGTCATAAAATGCCTTTACTTCAGTAGAACTCTATCTTTTTGTTTTCCTGCAGTATAAAATACTAAATATATATATAAAAAAAAAAGTTAAAGTGGAACTTTAGTCAGAAATTAAGTCCTGCTGGATCACATCATGCTGGAACCTTTTACAGGTATAGCAATGGAAAACATTAAAAGTAAGTGCTTATACTGTTTAAATGTTACTAAACCCCAGACCCTGCATTTACTATATCTGTTCTCCCACAGTACACAGAACATGGAAATGCAATTATTTTAGTAAATACACTCCTCAAAAAAATTAAAGGAACACTTTGAAAACACATCAGATCTCAATGGGGAAAAATGTAATGCTGGATATCAATACTGATATGGACTGGGTAATGTGTTAGGAATGTAAGGATGCCCCATCTTTTGATGGAAATGAAAATTATCAACCTACAGAGGACTGAATTCAAAGACACCCCGAAAATCAAAGTGAAAAAAAATTATGCAGCACTAGTCCATTTAGCTGAAATTTCATTGCAGCAACTCGAAATAGTTCCTAGTAGTCTGTATGCCCCCCACGTGCTTGTATGCATGCCTGACAACATCAGGGCATGCTTCTAATGAGATGATGGATGGTGTCCTGGGGTATTTCCTCCTAGATCTGGACCAGGGCATCACTGAGCTCCTGGGCAGTCTGAGATGCAATCTGGTGACGTTGGATGGACAGAAACGTGATATCTTAGAGGTGTTCTATTGGATTGAGGTCAGGCAAGTGTGGAGGCCATTCAGTGGTATAAATGCCTTCATCTTCCAGGAATTGCCTGCATACTCTTGCCACATGAGGCCGGGCATTGTCTTGCACCAGGAGGAACCCAGGACCCACTGCACCAGCGTAGGGTTTGACAATGCATCCAAGGATTTGATCCTGATGGTAGTCAGGGTGCCATTGTCTAGCCTGTAGAGGTCTGTGCGTCCCTCCATAGATATGCCTCCCCAGACCATTACTGACCCACCACCAAAACGGTCATACTGAACGATGTTGCAGGCAGCATAACATTCTCCATGGCTTCTCCAGACCCTTTCACGTCTGTCACGTGCTCAGGGTGAACCTGCTCTCACCTGTGAAAAGCACAGGGTGCCAGTGGCAGAACTGCCAATTCTGGTGTTCAATAGCAAATGCCAATTGAGCTCTATGGTACTGGGCAGTGAGCACAGGGCCCACTAGAGGACATCAAGCCACACTCATGAAGTCTGTTTCTCATTGTTTGGTCAGAGACATTCACACCAGCGGCCTAGTGGACGTCATTTTGTAGGGCTCTGGCAGTACTCATTCTGTTCCTCCTTGCACAGAGGAGCAGATACCGGTCCTGCTGATGGGTTAAGGACCTTGGACTGCCTGTGCAACCTCTGTAGGGTCCAGGTATTGCCTCATGCTAGCAGTAGTGACGCTGACCATAGCTAAATGCAAAACTAGTGAAAAACAGAAAAGATGGAGTAGGGAAAAAAATGTCAGTGGCCTCCACTTGTAGAACCATTCCTGTTTTGGGGGTCATCTCACTGTTACCCATCTAGCGCACCTTTTGTTAATTTAACACCAAAGCAGCTCAAACTGATTAACAACCCCCTCTGCTACTTAACTGACCAGATCAATATCCCAGGAGCTTAATTGACTTGATGCTATATTCTGATTAAAAAATGTTCCTTAAATTTTTTTGAGCAGTGTATAAACTGCTAAATACCTTTTCTCATCAGCAATATATAACAGTCTTGTGACTTCTATCAGTGTTCAGCAGAGCACTGGTTAAAGCTTGCAGGAGTTTTCTTTCTGCTCTAAGAAGATGTAGAACCCCTGACCTCTGTCTGGACAGTGCTGATTGGCCTGGTGCTAATCACATGCACTCTTCCAAGAAAAAAAAAAACCTCTAGCATTGCACACCAAACTGAGCGTGTGCAGAGTTTCTCCACACAATATGTCTTATCAGGAGATAAGAGGGGGACACTGGAAGAAGGGGAGGATCAGAGAAGTCCGGCTCAAACAGCATTTTTACACAATGCAGAGGATTAACTCCTTAGGTTTCACAGTGAGTATAACAAGCATGCTTTACTGCATATACAGACTGATTTTACTGTTGTGGGTTTAGTAACACTTAAAAATCCAGTAATACACTATCTCACCCTGCTCTGCACATGCTCAGGTTTGCTCTATTTTTTGGCACTGTGCCTCAAATGTAGAGGCTGATCTGCTGCCAGCCTAAAGATTTACTGCTGCTCAGCAGCAAATAGCAGCCTCAAGAAACAGGAACAATGCTGGAGGCATTTTACAGCACACTAATTTTGGTAGCATAACTACTAATGTGGAATGTATGTTCTTTGCTGAAGAACATTATTTTTTGTCAAGTTGTTATGGGTAAGGTCTGCTTTTAAACACCATTTGACATTATGTAGCGAGTGCACATCAATGTTCTGCAGCTAAGCATGTTTAAAAACCAGGACAGGCAGCATTTTATGTATTTTGTGTCATGAAAGAAGATGAAACAAGGAGGCCAACCTCTCCTTCTGAAAATGTTCATTAAGCTAGGCAGTATATCTACCGTGAGGCAAGCAAGGCACTTGCCTTGGGCAGGAATTTACAGAGGAGCGGCATCGCCCCCAGGCAGAAGGGGTACCACATCGGGGTCAGGACAGCCGACACACAAGCACAGGGACTGGCTGCAGAAGGTGGTGGGTGGATCCCTAGTGTGTGCAGGGAGGGGTCAGGGCCCGCTGTCATGCAGGCTCCAGCCAGGATCTGCAGTGTGTGCCGGGGTGGGTGAGGCCAGAGGGTGCCAGCAAGGGCATGTGGAGGATGAGGTTAGGGTGGATGAGCCACCCGCTCTTTGTTGCACCTGCTGCTGGAGATCCTGGTGGAGATGGAACACAGACTAATTACTGCTCCTGGCACCAGATCCTGACACCATATGGAAGAGCTGCTGCTGGACAAGTAAGATCTTGGAGAACTGGCACTCCCCGCTTCTGTAATGCTGCCTCCCTCCTTTCCCGCTGCCCCCATCCTGTCCTGTCCTGAAGGGGTGGAAATAAGAAGGGATGGGACAAACTTAGATGGGGATCAGTAGTGCTGGGGGGTAGTACTAAGTAGCATAGAGGTGAGAAGAATGTAACTCAGAGGTCAGCAGAGAGTAACGCAGAGAGCTGGGGTCAGTAGTAACACAGAGTCTAGCGGTGAGAAGAATGCAACGCAGAATTCAGAGGTCAGCATTAGGCAACGCAAAGTGCAAGAGTCAGGAGTAAGTCAATTACAATTTTTAGAAGGTCAGGAATGGCAGCCAGCAGCTCTCTCTATTTCTTTCATGACACTTTTACTTTAAAGAGGAATTGACCGCTTGAAACTGGTCTTCCTGCAGCTCATCTTTTCCCCCCAGTACTAACTTACCATGCCTTATTCTGCACTGTGTCTCTGTATGGGACTTTGCTTCCCCATGTCAAAGCCTCCAGCAAGGAGTTGAGAGTGCAACACAGTATTGACATCACCAAATCTCATTACTTATCTCCTGAGCCCAGCAGTCAGAGGCAGTAGAGCCTTATGGGTCACACAGCTTTACGGCTGTAGGTACAGGAGTGCCTAGATACACTCACCAGGAGGTGCACTGCTATTTTTCTGGAGGAATTCCAGATAAAAAGGAACACTGCTTCAGGAAAATTAGCATTTTTTTATGTCCTCTATAAAATAGTAAATTTTACATTTTTAAATTTAGTTCCAATTCAAATGAAGTGCAGGGAATTAGGAGACACGTTTGCAAATTTAAATGAATGAAACAAAATGAAAATCAAACACAAATGAATGCAGGTTCCCTGTGTTGCCAGTCGTATTTGTTTTTACTTCTGTACAGACCGCTCGCTCCCATGAGACTCCTTTATGGGCTAAAATATCCCTACTGACCTGAACCATTCAGTCATACACAACGTACACGGGAAACCTACAAAGATTCACCTTATCCATGTGCTCTATTTCTTAGCAACTGTCAGAAACGTACAATTGAATTTAAATAGCATTTCTTTCCTAAATGCATAATTTATAATAGTAATTACGTAGTTATATCAGACTGAGCATATTTTATGCAAGCAATCATTGTACCACGCTATAGAAATATCCCCAATGGCCTGCATGAAAAAACAATACTTTTTGAAATGTATCATTAATGTAAATGTTTTGGATAAAATTAATAATGCTCTAAATAAAAGAAAGTATATATTTTTACATATTGTTGATTATTATGTCAAAGTAAGTGATGATGAGCAAGAATTATTTATTATGATCATTTCTATTTTTTGTGGACAAAAGGCTTTCTTGCTAGAGAAAACACCAGCAGATGGCACTATATATACAGTCACTGGCATTCCAGTCCAGTTTCCATGATTCTTAGTTCTTCAGCAGAGTTCTCAGGCAATGTAACTACGTAAACCTGATACATTCTAATCTGGAATATTAGATTTCAAATGGCACTAGTTCTTAAGATATTAGACCTTATTTTTTTACTAATATCCATTATTCAGAAAATATAATCAAATTAAAAACCCATAACTGCTGTGTATTTCTAGTGGTAGATCCAACTTTGTACCATCACTTGATTTTAATCTCTTCTTTATTTCCATCTGCTGCAAGACTCTTAACACCTCTTCTCGTAACCCTCTTTTACATACAATATTCTAGGTAACTACTTGAGACGATAATTCTCTCTAAAGTCCATTAATTCCTGGCTTATGTCAAATGTGTTTTTTTGCGCATTTTTTGAGTGACATGCATGATTTCAATAGGCTGCCCTACGGGTAACAAACGTGGCAAAGTAGCTCATGAAGCTTTTTGCTGCGTTTCAGTCTCCATATTTTTTAATGCATGATTTGCCACATTTTTTGTGAATTTTCGCTTGTGGCAAAATGCACGGAAACTTTTTTTTTTTTTTGGTTTGTTTAGATTTAATGAATAAATCATGCTTTTGCAAGGATGTTGGAACAACAGTTAGAATATTTTTTATGGTATACTAGAGTATTCTTAAAGCACTATATGTGTTCAAAAGTTCAAAAAGTCTAATATTACTAAACAGAATTGACTGACTATATATGAATATGTGTCTGATGGTGAAATAACTTTCCACCGTGCCAATAGGTGTGCAGAAGAATTCTGGATGTTTTCGTATCCTTGTGATTTCAAAATAAATTATATAAAAAATAAAAAAAAAAAACTCCCAACTGTCCCTCACTTGGAACAAAGTCCCTCTGTTCCCCTTTGCTCCTCTTTTTTGTTTCAGGCATATTTAACAAACCAAAAGGGTGCAAATATAATATTTTTTTTAATTAATAAAGTGGTTCTAAAGCCTTAAGGTTTATTTACTTTAATGCATTTTATGCATTAAGGTAAAAAACCTTTTGTTACAGAGGATACCCTAGCCCCCCTCCCAGCCCAAAATACATACCTGTGCACAGTCTCAATCCAGCAATGCATAAAAGCAATGATTCTTCCGGCTCTGTTTTCCTCACAGAGCAGATTGATTGCAACAGGAGCCATTGGCTCCCGTTCTTGTCAATCAAATTCTATGAGGAAAGAGCAAGAGCGAGCCCACATATGTGCCACCACAGCAAGTGGCTTCTTATGTTGGCACACGTAGAAGAGGAGGAGCCAACAGTGCCAGCAGGGAAACCAAGAAGAGGAGAATTGTGGCTGCTCTGTACAAAATCATTGCACAGAGAAGATAAGTATAACATGTTTGTTATTTTAATTTTTTAAAAATGGGAAGCTTTAATATCACTAAGGTTTACATATAATTTAACTGTTCTGAACAAGAGCCAGACAAACAAAGGGTCAAGAAGCAGGTACGATGCGAGTTAAGCTGGGAACCACAGGCTGAAAATCATTGAAAAGCAGTCAGTTCAGCAGGAACTTTTGGCTCACGTGTACGGCTGTTTATTCTACAGAAGCCAGTCTTACGACCAGCTTCTGTCAAGCAGGAATGCTGGAAAACCAGCATTTGACCAGCTTCCAATAAATACTGGGAACCAAAGGCTGCAATCGCTGACTGGTGTGTTCTAGCCAAACAGCACATACATCCAATCAGATGCAGGCACTGTTTTAGGTATTGTAACCACTGCAGTTGCTGGCTGTCAGTTTAAAATGGCTGCCCTTTTGCACCTCCATCAATCCATGCTGTTTAGCGTGACTGGGGAAATTGAATGATTCCCCGTGGGGCTGAGCAAAAGAAATCTTAATATGAACAGCCAACTTAGGGTTGCGCCAGCAGTCAGAGGGCGCCCTGATTGTTTTGGATGCCCAACAGCCTATTGGGATGTTATACACATTGTGGTATATGTGGAGCTTGCTTTGGTATAATAGAGCAGAAAAGACATATACACATTTAAAGTTATTATATGGAAGCTCTAAGTTTTTCCAATTAGTCACCTTTTTCAGTTGTACTAGAGAGGGCTTTTAAAATGATTCAGCATAACATACATCTTCACTATCTACTCACATCTTTCTCATCCAGTCAATTTTTCGTTGCTTTTGTTTTTTTAATACATCCTGAATCCTCTGCAGTTTGTTGTGGTTGAATTTGACCCTCCTCTTATTATCAGCTACAGTCACTTCATCTAAACTGTCAAAGACCTGAGGAGATAAAGAATTGAGGTTAGTAAAAATGTATCATTGGGTATGTAATATCCTGCAGAGCTACTGAGCAGTTCCAGCATATGCAGCAAGGATCTATAATAAGACGGTCTCCTTCTAGGTAGATAGACATTTGTTTTAATTCCCCATTTTAAAAGAAAGACAAAATGTATTATACGTATAATTAAAAGGGGCCACTAAATGCATACAAAATACAACTCGCAGTCATGTTCCACAGTAAAAAAAACTAATTAAAAACTTTAAATAGTCCATAGGTGCTCTCAAAGATAACTTTTCTTCATAAATGTACTCTCTAAAATTATTCCCACCCCCCACCTAAGGTCCTATACTTGACTGTCCGCGCGAATGGAAGATCATGCTGTATGGAACATGGGGAACTGCACAGATGCTGCTACTGGATAGGAAGTGAAGAAAAAAATCTACAGTACATACAGCAATAAAAAGTTCATGGGGTTTAAACCTTCTGAAATGTCTGTGGAAGTTTGTGCCCATTCATCCAAAAGACAATTGGTGAGGTCAGGTACTGATATTGGATGATAAGGTCTGTCTCACGAACAGCATTCTAAATCATCTCCAAAGTGTTCAGTAGGGTTGCTGTCGTGGGGGCTTTGTGCAGATCCCTTCGGTTCCACATCATACCATGTCTTTATGGACAGATCTTTGTGCACAGGGCACTGACATGCTGCAAACCTTGCCATAAAATTGGAAAAGCAATTGTCTAAAATGTCTTTGTGTGCTGTAGCAGTAACAGTACCTTTTGCTGGAAATGCCTGACCTCAATGTAGAAGGGTATCCACATACTTTTGTCGGTGTAGTGCATTTTAAACAATTTTTTTCTTTGCTGGCCAATATGGGTGAATGTCTGATATTGCCAGGACTGGGTAAAAACACCTCTGCGGCTGGCACCACCTCTGCCCTTTTCCTTATTGCTACTCTAATTTTGAGTCTTATGGAAATGAATTGGAGTGGAGTGAAAACTAAGGGGAGGCTATGGATCATAACCTGGGAGGAGGTGAGGGTCTACACAATTTATATCTCCAAGTTGACTTGAGAAAAAAAAAATCAGACAAGTGGAATCCTGGGTTAGGTTGCTGCCACCAAGACCTATCTTAAATGATCAATGAAGTAAGAATAAAGTCTGGGTTATTTGGAGTCACATAATACAAACAGAATTTACATATTATAAAATAATGCAACAGACAGTTATGCAATCACTGACCCTGAGTGTCAGGAGCCTCCAGCCATTGTTCTCCACCCGTTTGTACCAGCCACTGTGGGTGACCTCTGGAATGACACCATGGTTATGGATTTGTTTTGGCAGCAACTGTTTCACACATTGCTTGGTGTAGTCTTTAGGACTATTGGCACACATATCCACAATTGGTCTGTGAGTAAACAACTTATAATATATGTTGGGTGGAAATTTTGTCTGCAAATGGAATTCAAACAATGCATTACAGTTTTGTATTATTATTATTATCATGCAATAAGAACTTTAATTTAAACTTAAGCTTTTGCTCCAATCTACTCATCTACATTTGAATTTGACTTGACACTTTGTATAAGATGTACAAAAGGCAGACCTCTCCTCTACCCCATCCCTGAGTTGTCTTTACCACAATCTGACATCCAATGTAAACCCCCAGTCATAATAGCAGACAGTAAACAGATAGAAGATACACATTTATGGGAGCCCAGTAACTGACAATTTCTCACGCGTTGCTATATATGTATATCATATTTTGACAAACATCTGATAAACCAGGATAGAAGATTGTACTGCTGCTGTTATCTGTAGTTTACACAGTTCCATGCAGTCAGATTAATGATTTGTACTATAGATTTTTGGACTCGTTATGTTGATGGGTGGATGTATAATAGGTTGAAAAATTACAGCAGAAACATGAGCTATGAAGAGTTGGCTTACAACAGGAGTTTAGAGGACATCCCACAGGGCATTGAATGGAGAAATCAATTAACTGGACAAGTTATACAATCTACTCCAGTTGCTGTTTTCCTGTGATCATTGATGTTTGCAGTATTCTCTCTTCTCTTGCCCCCTCCTCTTTCCATTAACCTAAACATGTTAAAAATTGCTCTTCAGATAGTTTATTCTGAGGGTGATTGGACTGTATATGCACATCCATAACCCCCTAAATTATAAGGGTTGGCATAAAGATAAGCTTGATTATTGTAGATTATAATTTCTGTAGATATACAGCCAACAATACACAGGTGATTTTGACAGGGTTATCAGTTGTATGAGCCACTTGATTAGTAATGGTCGCTGGACATTGTGTCCACTAACTAATCCGTTTTGGCAAACTGTAGACAGCCTGTGCAAATGCCAATCATGTCAAAGTCAGGTTTGAAAGGTTAATTTGATGCTATTGGGTAGAATTTAGGAATATCTGACTTTTCTGACCAGGTAAACAGAGGTACCTGTTAACTCTTTGAACAGAATGTTTATAAATCCATCTTATTTCAGACATGCCTCCAGAATTCCTTTCCTAGGACACCTCCAATAGTTCCCTTCACTTTATTGCCCCTTACCTCTACTCCCCCCACCCTCTGATAATCCACTGTTCTTATTTTTTTCAAAAAAGAAACAATTTACAGAAAGGAAAACATTAGCATAGTAATACTATTATGAACACGTGGTTATATTCTACTCTGTTTAATCTTTCTGATGTATCACTAAAAACGTTGTCAACTGTTCAGATTTCCCTTTCACATAAAGAATTAAAAAGAGGGTCTGTTCGCCCAAAAATAATACTTCATATACAGATGGTGTCTGCTGTGAAAATGAAAGAGATAGATTAGGTGTATTCTCATTATGGCTGTGCATTATGTACAGGTCACAGAGCACTGTGAACTTACCATCATAGACCCTGAGAGACACAAACTATTCTACTGTTCAATGCTCCAGCATCTAGAAACTAAACTATATCAGAAGTACTTACATACCTGAGACACTGTGAAGAGAGGATTCGTATCCAGTATTTATACATCCCTACTTTACACACTATACAAGACCCCAACACCTTTAACAGTAGAGTATCTTGGACTACAGATTAAGGTGAGATCAGTGGAGAACAATGGAAAATGGCTTTGGAATCTGTTTCCCTTATTTTTCTGTCAACTTCTCAAACTCACCCAGCTGTTTATACTCCACCGGGTTTATAGAACCCCAGATAAGCTGTTCTGGAGGAGTAGGAAAGATACCCCTATATGCCCTAAAGGTAGTTTGCATAGAAGAGATTTCATCCATATGATCTGGAGATGCCCCAAATTTTCAACATACTGGTCTAAGGTTTAGATGTTCAGGTTCCCATACCTATGGATCCCTTGGGCTTCATGTACACAAGCCTACCTTGACCGACGGCCACAGGAAAACGCAAATCGCAACAAAAACGTGGTACTGCGGTTGCTGCATTTTCCTGCGGAATTGCGTCAAAACATTCCTATCCTGAACACAATTCTTCTGCATTCAGGAGAGGGAACTTTAACCTCACCTAAATGTGGCAACTCCTAAACTCATGAAGCCTAAAGCTGCCTATACACGCATAGATTTTTGTTCGAGAATTTTAGTTTCAAGAATATTCGTTTGATTTATTAATCGTTTGTGGGGTCAAATCGATGTTTGTTTTCGACCGCAGTGACGTGAAAATTCAAAGGGGCAGGAAACAAAACTTTTCTCGACCAAACAAATTTTTGTCCAGTGTATGTGGTTATCGTACAGAAATTACATTCATTTTAACCTCAAATGTTAAAAGCAAAAGACAATTTTTGAATGACATTAGTTCATTCACAGAATGTTCAATGAATTTTCGTATAACTTTTTGTACGAATATTCTCGTCCGAAAATCTACACGCGTGTGGCCAGCTTTAGACTTCATATACACGAGCAGCTCCTAAACTCAAGTTTAGGAGCTTTTGGCATTTTTTTTTTTACCAAAGCTCCTAATCTCAACTCCATAAAAGCCTACGTGTCCATGTACATTAGCAGAGTTTAGGAGCTGCTGCGTTTAAGTGAGGTTAAACATCCCTCTCCTGAACGCAAAAGAATCGCGTTCAGGATAGGAATGTTTTGACCTCGCAAAACGTGGCAAAAATGTGGTACCACGATTTGCGTTTTCCCGTGGCCGGTGGTCAGGGTAGGCTCATGTACATGAAGCCTTAGTGTGCTTATTGCGTGCACTAGATGCTGAATTGTATCAATGTGGAGTTCATATCATGATTTCCCAACTGTTGTATTGCATGTCATCCACCTCTCCAATTGCAAAACAATAGATAAACTATGTTAATTCCCTTCTTCTATGAGAGCAGCTTACCATCACCGTGATGCTCTTCATAAGTTTGGCGCGATATGACAGGGATGGCTAGACACTCCAGGCTTAGCTCCACCACAGTTAGTCATGGATAGGCTTCTTCAAGTTTAAGGACTAAAGGTTTCTGCTAGGGCATACTGAAGCCACTGTACCCACCTGTTCTATATTGGTATGGTCATTACATTTAATTGCACGATAGCGTGATATTTCTTTACTCTTTTTTGTATCAGCTATGTGTTTATTGCGCACAAAGGTGTATACATCTCATCACTTTTACTATCCTGTGTCCTTAAAAAAAGAAGTATGGGATCTCTAGGTAATCATACTTACCTATGTGGATGCAGCATCAGTCCCCCACCGACTCTAAGGGCGAGAACTCAGCGATCACATGACCTCTGCTCACTGAGTTCTCATAGCCACTCTAAGCAGAGAGCAATGACTGTCAGTCACTGCTGTCTACTGTGCCAAAAGAGCTTTGGCTTTACTTCTCATTTAAGTATATTGCACTTTTTCACTCAGACATTAATAAAGATAAAGAATTTAGTTTAAAAAAAAAAGAGCTTACGTAAAAAATTTATTAAAGGCTGAGCCCACTGAAGACATTTCAGTCATGGGTAGATTTTGACAAGCGGAAACACAATGAATCTCTCTGCTGGAGTTCCCACCTATAATCCCTCCACCTTGCCTTGATCCTTGATCATTAAGAAGGTATGCAAGGGAGTCTCATTGAAACCTCTCTTTTCATTGTATTGTTATTAGCAGCAGGTTTTAAGTACGTCATTTGCCACCATTTAAGCTAGGGAGTCTTGTGACTCCTCTCAACAATCTCTTTCCCTACAATAATTTTGCCCAAATGTAACAGAGGAGTGCAAAAAAGTCTATAAACCTTGTGTTGTGGTGCAGCCTCTTCAAACTGTGCTGTCCCAGGCATAGACAATAAATTACCAGTAGTAAATACAGCCCCATCCACATCATCTAAAGCTATCAATGTCCCCTGCTTGTGCTCAGTAGTAGCTTTCGTAAAAATACCCACATTTCACAGCAGTGTCAGAAATGGCTCAGCTTACAGTGCTGGATAGCCAACAATAGAACAAGCTATATGTGGATGTAGCCACTCAACAACAATATAGTGAAGATTATACTTACTCCTCCTAGCCTGAACCTGACATGAACTCCAGCTGCAGCATCGATCAGTTCTGCCTGCCAAAAGAATGACGACAATGATGTTACAGCCTGATAATGCCTCGCATCTTGATCTAGGCAATCTAAGGGGCTCCAGCAATTGTGAATCTATGGAAGACAGCTTTCCATACAAACCTGTTTTACACAATAACAGCTACAATCTAAAGCACATTCTCTCTGTAGGGTCAGGGTGTGGAGGACACAATAAACAGGATAGAAAACCTTTTCCAGTCCCACTTGGTGTTTCCCAGATATACCAGTGCCTGAGCCGCCATCCTGCAGCTTGGTTATATTAGCCCGTATTCACTACACTGAGTTTAACTCGAATCTTGGCAAAGTCAAGCCTGCACATTTTTGCTGTTCCTTTATGAGGTGGTCAAATCTTGCCTAAATGTCTGACCACCTTTTTCATGTCTGTGGACCACCTGCTGGAGGTATGTACACCTCTAAAGTGAAACTCGAAAGAAAAATTCTGTGCGCAGAATGATCGTTCAGTTTTCGTATAGTGTGTACACAGCTTTTGACATCCAATTCAGACTTTGCAAATGAAAAGTTCCGAAGGGACAATCTCCAAAATGTTTCTTATACGTCAACTAGAATGAATACCATCCTTGGGTTCGACTTGCTGTGAAACATAGAGGAAAAAAGACGATCGTTCACCTGATTTTCTTATAGCGTGTACCCAACTTAAGTGTCTGCACTTCTTACCAGCAGTAGTGTACCCTTCTACCCCCCAGTAAGTGTCTAACTGCTCAGTTGACAGCACCATCTGCTGTCTATGACAACAGAAGACACCTCTGGCTGGCCAACTTTGGGGGAAAAGATTGGAAAAAAAAATGAAAAACATTTTGGGTCACTCAATTAAAGTGTTACTAAACCCAGGACCCTGCATCAGCAATTACAGCAGTCTTGTGGTTTCTATCAGTATCCAACAGAGCACATGTTAAAGTTTGTAGGAGTTTTCTTTCTGCTCTAGGAGGATGTAGAACCCCTAACCTTTGGACAGTGCTGATTGGCCCTGTGCTGACCACATACTCTCCCAAGGAAAAAAAAAAACCTCTCTAGCAATACACACTAAACTGAGCATTTGCAGAGTGTCTCCACACAAAATGTCTTATCAGGAGATAAGAGGGAGACACTGGAAGAAGGGGAGGATCAGAGAAGTTGGGATCAAACAACATTTTTAAACAATGCAGAGGATTAACCCTTTAGGTTCCAAAGTGAGTATAACAAGCATGTTTAATGCATATACAGACTGATTTTACTTTTGTTGGTTTAGTAACACTTAAACTTTCTCTGACAAAGATTGGGATTGAATTAATACAATCATGCCCCCAAACTGCTTAATAAATCCCAGTATACAGCCCTGGCCCAAAGTTTTGAGAATGACACAAATATTAAATTTTCACAGGTCCAGGGGAGTTTCCTGGCCATGGACCCAAAATGTTGATGTTTTGTTCCCCAAGCTACCTAGTTATCACTTTTGCCTTATGGTAAAGCATTTTTCCTCAACAAACTGTTCTTGGATGGTTGGGAGAAGTTTCTCTTGGAGGATGTTTTTGTACCATTCTACATTCATGGCTGTGTTCTTAGGCAAAATTGTGCGTAAGCCCACTGTCTTGGCTGAGAAGCAACCCCACACATGCATGGTCCAGGATGCTTTACTGTTGGCATGACACAGGACTGGTGGTAGTGCTCTCCTTTTCTTCTCCAGACAAGGTTTTTTCAGGATGCCCCAAACAATCAGAAAGGGGATTCATCAGAGAAAATGACTTTACCCCAGTCCTCAGCAGTCCTATCCCTGTACCTATTGCAGAATACCAGTTTGTCGTCTGTCCCTGATGTTTTTCCTGGGGAGAAGTGGCTTCTTTGCTTCCCGTCTTGACACCAGACCATCCTCCAAATGTCTTCACCTCATTGTGTGTGCAGATGCACTCACACCTGCCTGCTATCATTCCTGAGCAAGGTCTGCACTGTTGGTGCCCCGATCCCGCAGCTGAATCAACTTTAGGAGACAGTCCTGACACTTGCTGGACTTTTTTGGGAACCCTGACAATTGAACAATTGTCGTCAACAACTGAATCTCTCTCCTTGAAGTTCTTGATTATCCAATAAATGGTTGATTTAGTTGCAATCTTAGCAGCAATATCCTTGCCTGTGAATCCCTTTTTGTGCAAAGCAATGATGACTGCACGTTTCCTTGCAGGTAAATTAATATTTGTGTCATTCTCAAAACTTTTGGCCAGGGCTGTTTCTAAACTGATAGTATCAGCAATAGGAAAAAGGGATCAACAAAAAAGCAAGTTCTTAATGTACTTACCTCTCTAGGATTTATACATTTAAGCAAAAGCTTTGGGTCTCCTTGTGCTTTAAAATTGATGAGATTTTTGAGATACCTAAAAACATTCATGTCCTGAAAAAGAGAAGGGCACGTGAAATGCAGACGAGCTTTTGGAAAGGAAAAAAAATAAGAGGACCATAGATAGCCCTATCAGTGCACAATATAAAAACTAATAGGCTCAAAACAGCTGCAAGACAAGTGATTCTATATTTTAGCCCATATGTGTGCTATAAACTATAGTAGCTAAATACTGTATGCTAATACCGTAGATGCACTTTTTTCCCCCAAAAAAGGGGGAAAATGTCAGTGTGTCTTATGGAGCGGCCAAATTGGTATTTCCACCGCCGCCGTGTCAGAATACCGGGCCAGCCGCTCAGCTCTGCAGCAGGACCTTACCTGTTCCTCGGTCCAGCGCTGCGCAGTCTTCCCGTGCCGGCTTCTTTAGTGTGGGCACCTGGCTGACAGCCGAGTGCCCAGTGCGCATGCGCGAGAAGTGCTGCGCTTTGTGAATGGTACGGCATCTTCTGGGACACGACAGATCCCAGAAGACGCCGTACCAAGCACAAAGCGCAGCACTTCTCGCGCATGTGCACTGGGCACCCGGCTGTCAGCCAGGTGCCCACACTAAAGGAAGGACAACTCCGTGAGAGTGGGTACCTGTCAAATTCAGGTACCCACTCCCCCTTCCCCCCCAAAGGTCAGCAGTCATCTCCTGTACTGTCCGCAGTCTCTGGTCATCTCCTGTACTGTGTCCGCAGTCTCTGGTCATCTGTACTGTCCGCAGTCTCTTGGTCATCTCCTGTACTGTGTCCGCAGTCTCTTCGTCATCTCCTGTACTGTGTCCGCAGTCTCTTCGTCATCTCCTGTACTGTGTCCGCAGTCTCTTCGTCATCTCCTGTACTGTCCGCAGTCTCTGGTCATCTCCTGTACTGTGTCCGCAGTCTCTGGTCATCTGTACTGTGTCCGCAGTCTCTGGCCATCCCCTGTACTGTGTCCGCAGTCTCTGGCCATCCCCTGTACTGTGTCCGCAGTCTCTGGCCATCTCCTGTACTGTGTCCGCAGTCTCTGGCCATCTCCTGTACTGTGTCCGCAGTCTCTTGGTCATCCCCTGTACTGTCCGCAGTCTCTTGGTCATCTCCTGTACTGTGTCCGCAGTCTCTTGGTCATCTCCTGTACTGTGTCCGCAGTCTCTTGGTCATCTCCTGTACTGTGTCCGCAGTCTCTTGGTCATCCCCTGTACTGTCCGCAGTCTCTTGGTCATCTCCTGTACTGTGTCCGCAGTCTCTGGTCATCTCCTGTACTGTGTCCGCAGTCTCTGGCCATCCCCTGTACTGTGTCCGCAGTCTCTGGCCATCTCCTGTACTGTGTCCGCAGTCTCTGGCCATCTCCTGTACTGTGTCCGCAGTCTCTTGGTCATCCCCTGTACTGTCCGCAGTCTCTTGGTCATCTCCTGTACTGTGTCCGCAGTCTCTGGTCATCTCCTGTACTGTGTCCGCAGTCTCTGGTCATCTCCTGTACTGTGTCCGCAGTCTCTGGTCATCTCCTGTACTGTGTCCGCAGTCTCTGGTCATCTCCTGTACTGTGTCCGCAGTCTCTGGTCATCTCCTGTACTGCGTCCGCAGTCTCTGGTCATCTCCTGTACTGCGTCCGCAGTCTCTTGGTCATCTTCTGTCCTGCATCCGCAGTCTCTTGGTCATCTCCTGTCCTGCGTCCGCAGTCTCTTGGTCATCTCCTGTACTGCGTCCGCAGTCTCTTGGTCATCTCCTGTACTGCGTCCGCAGTCTCTTGGTCATCTCCGCAGTCTCTTGGTATGTATGCAGTCTCTGGTCATCTCCTGTACTATGTATGCAGTCTCTGGTCATCTCCTGTACTATATATGCAGTCTCTGGTCATCTCCTGTACTGTGTCCGCAGTCTCTTGGTCATCCCCTGTACTGTCCGCAGTCTCTTGGTCATCTCCTGTACTGTGTCCGCAGTCTCTTGGTCATCTCCTGTACTGTGTCCGCAGTCTCTTGGTCATCTCCTGTACTGTGTCCGCAGTCTCTGGTCATCTCCTGTACTGTGTCCGCAGTCTCTGGTCATCTCCTGTACTGTGTCCGCAGTCTCTTGGTCATCCCCTGTACTGTCCGCAGTCTCTTGGTCATCTCTTGTACTGCGTCTGCAGTCTCTTGGTCATCTCCTGTACTGCGTCCGCAGTCTCTTGGTCATCTCCTGTACTGCGTCCGCAGTCTCTTGGTCATCCCCTATACTGTCTGCAGTCTCTTGGTCATCTCCTGTACTGCGTCTGCAGTCTCTGGTCATCTCCTGTACTGCATCCGCAGTCTCTTGGTCATCTCCTGTACTGCGTCCGCAGTCTCTTGGTCATCTCCTGTACTGCGTCCGCAGTCTCTTGGTCATCTCCTGTACTGCGTCCGCAGTCTCTTGGTCATCTCCTGTACTGCGTCCGCAGTCTCTTGGTATGTATGCAGTCTCTGGTCATCTCCTGTACTATGTATGCAGTCTCTGGTCATCTCCTGTACTATATATGCAGTCTCTGGTCATCTCCTGTACTGTGTCCGCAGTCTCTTGGTCATCTCCTGTACTGTCCGCAGTCTCTTGGTCATCTCCTGTACTGTGTCCGCAGTCTCTTGGTCATCTCCTGTACTGTATCCGCAGTCTCTGGTCATCTCCTGTACTGTGTCCGCAGTCTCTGGTCATCTCCTGTACTGTGTCCGCAGTCTCTTGGTCATCCCCTGTACTGTCCGCAGTCTCTTGGTCATCTCCTGTACTGCGTCTGCAGTCTCTGGTCATCTCCTGTACTGCGTCTGCAGTCTCTGGTCATCTCCTGTACTGCATCCGCAGTCTCTTGGTCATCTCCTGTACTGCGTCCACAGTCTCTTGGTCATCTCCTGTACTGCGTCCGCAGTCTCTTGGTCATCCCCTATACTGTCTGCAGTCTCTTGGTCATCTCCTGTACTGCGTCCGCAGTCTCTGGTCATCTCCTGTACTGCGTCCGCAGTCTCTTGGTCATCTCCTGTACTGCGTCCGCAGTCTCTTAGTCATCCCCTATACTGTCTGCAGTCTCTTGTCATCTCCTGTACTGTGTCCGCAGTCTCTTGGTCATCTCCTGTACTGTGTCCGCAGTCTCTTGGTCATCTCCTGTACTGTGTCCGCAGTCTCTTGGTCATCTCCTGTACTGTGTCCGCAGTCTCTTGGTCATCTCCTGTACTGTGTCCGCAGTCTCTTGGTCATCTCCTGTACTATATATGCAGTCTCTGGTCATCTCCTGTACTGCGTCCGCAGTCTCTGGTCATCTCCTGTACTGTGTCCGCAGTCTGGTCATCTCCTGTACTGTGTCCGCAGTCTGGTCATCTCCTGTACTGTGTCCGCAGTCTCTAGTCCGCAGTCTCTGGTCATCTCCTGTACTGTGTCCGCAGTCTCTGGTCATCTCCTGTACTGTGTCCGCAGTCTCTGGTCATCTCCTGTACTGTGTCCGCAGTCTCTGGTCATCTCCTGTACTGTGTCCGCAGTCTCTGGTCATCTCCTGTACTGTGTCCGCAGTCTCTGGTCATCTCCTGTACTGTGTCCGCAGTCTCTGGTCATCTCCTGTACTGTGTCCGCAGTCTCTCTTGGTCATCCCCTGTACTGTCCGCAGTCTCTTGGTCATCTCTTGTACTGCGTCTGCAGTCTCTGGTCATCTCCTGTACTGCGTCCGCAGTCTCTTGGTCATCCCCTATACTGTCTGCAGTCTCTTGGTCATCTCCTGTACTGCGTCTGCAGTCTCTGGTCATCTCCTGTACTGCATCCGCAGTCTCTTGGTCATCTCCTGTACTGCGTCCGCAGTCTCTTGGTCATCTCCTGTACTGCGTCCGCAGTCTCTTGGTCATCTCCTGTACTGCGTCCGCAGTCTCTTGGTCATCTCCTGTACTGCGTCCGCAGTCTCTTGGTATGTATGCAGTCTCTGGTCATCTCCTGTACTATGTATGCAGTCTCTGGTCATCTCCTGTACTATATATGCAGTCTCTGGTCATCTCCTGTACTGTGTCCGCAGTCTCTTGGTCATCTCCTGTACTGTCCGCAGTCTCTTGGTCATCTCCTGTACTGTGTCCGCAGTCTCTTGGTCATCTCCTGTACTGTATCCGCAGTCTCTGGTCATCTCCTGTACTGTGTCCGCAGTCTCTGGTCATCTCCTGTACTGTGTCCGCAGTCTCTTGGTCATCCCCTGTACTGTCCGCAGTCTCTTGGTCATCTCCTGTACTGCGTCTGCAGTCTCTGGTCATCTCCTGTACTGCGTCTGCAGTCTCTGGTCATCTCCTGTACTGCATCCGCAGTCTCTTGGTCATCTCCTGTACTGCGTCCACAGTCTCTTGGTCATCTCCTGTACTGCGTCCGCAGTCTCTTGGTCATCCCCTATACTGTCTGCAGTCTCTTGGTCATCTCCTGTACTGCGTCCGCAGTCTCTGGTCATCTCCTGTACTGCGTCCGCAGTCTCTTGGTCATCTCCTGTACTGCGTCCGCAGTCTCTTAGTCATCCCCTATACTGTCTGCAGTCTCTTGTCATCTCCTGTACTGTGTCCGCAGTCTCTTGGTCATCTCCTGTACTGTGTCCGCAGTCTCTTGGTCATCTCCTGTACTGTGTCCGCAGTCTCTTGGTCATCTCCTGTACTGTGTCCGCAGTCTCTTGGTCATCTCCTGTACTGTGTCCGCAGTCTCTTGGTCATCTCCTGTACTATATATGCAGTCTCTGGTCATCTCCTGTACTGCGTCCGCAGTCTCTGGTCATCTCCTGTACTGTGTCCGCAGTCTCTGGTCATCTCCTGTACTGTGTCCGCAGTCTGGTCATCTCCTGTACTGTGTCCGCAGTCTGGTCATCTCCTGTACTGTGTCCGCAGTCTCTAGTCCGCAGTCTCTGGTCATCTCCTGTACTGTGTCCGCAGTCTCTGGTCATCTCCTGTACTGTGTCCGCAGTCTCTGGTCATCTCCTGTACTGTGTCCGCAGTCTCTGGTCATCTCCTGTACTGTGTCCGCAGTCTCTGGTCATCTCCTGTACTGTGTCTGCAGTCTCTGGTCATCTTCTGTACTGTGTCTGCAGTCTCTGGTCATCTCCTGTACTGTGTCTGCAGTCTCTGGTCATCTCCTGTACTGTGTCTGCAGTCCATTGGTTCAGAATATTTTTTTTCTTGTTTTCTGCCTCTAAAACCTAGGTGCGTCTTATGGTAAGGTGCGTCTTATGGAGCAAAAAATACGGTACATGGTTTTCCATACCATAAAGGAAGTGTTTGCATGATTCCATCTGCTTCCGCTGCTCTTAAATGTAATTTACAATTTGCAATGACACATGTAAATAACTATTGCTCTAACCACTTAACCTCCGGAAGATTTATCCCCCTTCCTGACCAGGCCATTTTTTGTGATATGGCGCTGCATTATTTTACCTGACAATTGCGCGGTCATGCAATGCTGTACATAAATGAAATGTATATAAATTTTTTTCCCCACAAATAGAGTTTTCTTTTGGTGGTATTTGATCACCTCTGGGTTCTTTCTTTTTTGCACAATAAAACAAGAATAGACTGAAATTTTGGGGAAAAAAACAAATATATTTTTTACTTTCGGCTATAGAACATATCCAAAAAAATTAAGAAAATCAAACAGCTTCAGAAATATAGGCCAAAATGAATTCTGCTACATATTTTTGGTAAAAAAATCCCAACAGCCGTACATTGATTGGTTTGCGCAAAAGTTATTGCGTCTACAAACTATGGTTTTTATGCTGGAATTTTAATTTGAGCTTTTTTTTTTACTAGCAATGGAGGTGATCAGCGACTTATAGCAGGACTGCAATATTGCAGCAGACAATCGGACACTAACTGGCACTTTGTGGGAACCAGTGACACTAAATACAGTGATCAGTGCTAAAAATATGCAGACACTGTACTAATGACTAATGTACGAATGGCAGGGAAGGGGTTAAACATCTAGGGTGATGGAGTAAACGGTGTGCCTCGCTATGTGTAGTGTTTACTGTGTGTGCTGTTTTCACCAGGTATTGTGCTGGATTCTATTCTCTGCTTGCAGGGAAAGAAAATCAAGCACATTGCCGCTGACAGGACACAGCTCTGCCTTGTTTACAGGTTCCTCTCCAGCAAGGAGAAGAGTGAACAGCACATTAGTAACATCACCAAATCTCATTCAAAATCTGGTGAGACTATAAATCAGGCAGCAGTGCCTAAGATCGGGGATCAGCAACCAGTAGATCGTGGCCAGGTGACTTGTAGATCGTGATCTGGGCTTGCTTACCTACCATCTCAGAGCATCAGAGTGCAATGAAGAGGGACTACGTGTAAAGCTAGAACTGTGGTAGGGAGCAAGAGCCGCATAAGCTGATGCCTCCTCTGTAGTGCTGGTTCCTGTCCAATGGGGAGTGATACCAATTGCACTCCTCCTATTATCCCAGCTAGCCATCTCCAGAGCGGTGCCAGCAGCAGGAAAGAGATGTTCAGGTCAGTGTGAAGCAATACACTGGCATAATAGAAAGGGACTGCTTTCACACTGCAGCACCCACCAAAAGCAACAGGGGATTTGATTCCTGTTGCGGCATGTGTACACAGCAGCTAAAAGGCGTAGAGATTGGGGGCAGTAAAACCGCGACTCAACCGCAGGATTTCACCCCCCCAACTTTACGTGTGAATGAGTCCTAAATGTGCCATTGCCGAATGCTAATAAGGATTCATTCACAGGTGTTGCTGCTCTTCTGAAAAGCAATCCCAGTGTGTTTGACCACCTGATATAAAGTCCCGATTCCCGTGGGTGCAATTGCGACATACTAGTATGGCAATTAGAGGTTTAAGTCAGGTGTGAGGAGGCAACACTAGGCCCGATGATCTTTGACTCCTCCAATGTTGTACAGGTAGATCTCTACTTCCTCAGGGTTGCCTACCCCTGCCTTAGATGATCTCACACTGCAGATGTACAATTATGAGGCTCAAAGCATGAGAGTGCCTAGGTGCAGGAAGTGCACTGCCATTTTTCAAGATGAACTTAGGCCATAAAGTACATTTTTTATTTGTGGTTGTAGGTCCATTTGTATAACTAAGAAAAAGAGGAAAAAAATCAAATCATTTTTTCCTGCAGTTACACCTACAATCACAGAAAGTGTGATCAGACCAGGTACAAGTAGTGAACGTTTTAATAGAGTATCAGATTTTTTTTTTTTTACTGCTTGTTTCACAATATGCTGTATATTCCTATCTTCCCCTTTTACCTGAAGTTCTGCACATAAGCTGCACAATATACTGGAGCATAAGGACTCATAGCAGGTGTTCTTAGTATCAGCTATTGGCTTTTGGGAGAGTCTTGCATTCCTGGGCAAACATGCCCCAATGCAGCTGTGGCTGTGTATTAATATGCCATAAAAGAAAAATTCAATACAACTGTTTTGAACAACAGATGCTATAAACACAGATATAAGGACAAACGTATAAATCATATTTTATGAATGTATTAACATAGCTCTATATAAATTACTATGCTTACACAAACACCTGTAATATGTATGACATGTGGCCTTGGTATTTTATTATAGAAAAAACCATTTATGTTTTATTAGATGTTAACAAGACTTCCTCATACAGTGTCCTGAACACCATCATTATTGTACACAGCTGATGTGACAAACAGAGCTCACTGAGGTCATTATCCACATAATAAAACAAATTTGTCTCCAATACTTACTAGAATCCTGCGGAACGCCCTCTGGACTACGCGAGCGGCTTTATCCTGCTCCACATTGTACAGCTCGGGACAACTTGTCGCTGAACCACTCATGTCTTCCATCATGATTTGTTCACCGCTGAAACATATTTGTTTTATTTATTTATTGCAGGTGCTTATATAGCAGAGCTTTACAAATTATATATATACATACACATACAATAATAGAGTGACTCTAACCTAAAGTGGTTGTAAAGCTTAGATTTTTTTATTAAAATAAACATGTTATGCTTACCTGCTCTGTGCAATGGTATTGTACAGAGTGGTCCCAAACCAGCGCTCTCTTCCCCTCCTTCTATATGCCACCATAGCATAGTTGCCAACATTTCAAAAAATTTCCAGGGAGACTTAGTGCACTAGGCCCCCATCTATTCACAGTCAACCTCTGTTGGTAACCCCCCCCACCCAATGTGAAGTAGTGTCTGTACTCCCCTATTGATGGCCTTGACAACTGGTAACCTGTAGTATTTGCAGACTGAGTCAGAGGGTGGCCTGGAGTATTGGCAGAATGGATGATGAGCTGTAACACTGTCCAACTATACTGGAGAATGAATTGCAGTATAAATGGACCAAATTAGAGGAGTATCTGTTGTATCAGCAGATACTGGTGGGTGACTTGTAGCAAAGTGCCCCTATTAGAGTACCCGGTAAATCAGAAACCCCAGAGTACCCCAATAAATCAGTTCCCCATCAGTGTGTTCCCACATATAAGTAGCCTCCATCAGAATATCCCCTTAGATCAGTTATCCCAATAAAGGCAACCCTTTTACATCTGGTGTCCCCATCAGAGTGCCACCTTATATCAGGTGCCCCATCAAAGTACCTCTTTAAATCCAGAACCACACTCAGTATACCTTCATGTATCATTTGCCCCCATCAGCATGCACCCATATATCAATTTTCCTATAAGAACACTCTCGTACACCTGTTGCCCCAGAGATCAGCTGCCCTCATCAGAGTGCCCCTTAAATAACAGACTGCCTGCTTACATAAGGTGTTCCTATCAGAGTACCCCCATAAATCAGGAACCTCAAATCAGAATACTCTCATACATTGCTTGTCCCAAACAGAGTACCCCCATAGATCAAAAGATCAGTTACCCCTGTCAGTGTGCCCCTTTACATCAGGTGTTCTCCTTCACAGTGCCCCCTTACTTGAGAAATCCCAATCAGAATAATCTCATAGATCAGTGGTATTCAAACTGCGGCCCGGGGGCCAGATGCAGCCCTTTTCTTGTTTTTATCCAGCCCTTGGGGCACTATTTCATCCAATGGTACCAACAATGAGGCATAATTCCCCCATTAATACCAATGAAGAGGCACGATTCCTCCCAATGACAACGTGACACAATGTTTCCTTAGGACACCAACAATGGGGCCCTATGACACCAATGATGGGGTACAATTTCTCCTTAGGACACCAAAGATGGTGTCAGGGTTTTTTCCCTACTAACGTCAGAAACTTTTCTACTCCCAGTGGCCACAGTCTGGCCCCCCTAGTTAGAAGGACAGTAAACTGGCCCTTTGTTTAGAAAGTTTGGAGACGCCGGTCATAGATCATTTGCCCCCATCAGAGTCACCCCACAGATTTAAATGCCCCCATCAGAGTGTCCTAACATCATTTGCCCCACCAGAGTACCCCCATAGATTGGTTTTCCCATTAGCATTAGCAATGCCCTATAATCAATTGCCACCATTAGAATACCCCCATAGATTACAGTCCCCTATTTCAGTGCCCCCATAGATTAGCTGTCCACCATCATAGTACCCCATAGATCATTTGTCCCATCACAGTTCCCCAATCTATTAGTTGTTCCATCACAGTGTTCCCAGATATGGGTTGCCCCATCACAGTGCCCTCATAGATTAGTTACTCCCATTACAGTACCCCAATAGATTAGTTGCCTCATAATAGTTCCCCTCATAGATTAATTTTCCCATGACAGTGTCCCCATAGATCAGCTGGCATCCCTAGCAACCAATGACTGCTGCTCACTGGATCAGGAATGTTGGTGGTCTGCCATTTTAGGGAAGGCTCTATGAACTGAGCCTTTGCGAGAGGTGGAGCCAGGGACAGTATGTGGGAGAGACTCATCTAGTGTATGAAGGCAGATAAGAGGAATCAGACCGAGAACTGGGTTTAACAGAGTAGGTAGGGGCAGGGTGGTGGAGTATGATGTAATCCCTCTACTGTAATGTTGTGAGGGAGGTGCTAAGAGAGGGAGACTGCAGCTGTCACCAGTGTGCCCCCCCAACACAGTGCCTTCGTCATGTGACCCTTCTCCCTGCTAGATGACAGCTCACATTCCTATATGTACATGTGTATGGGAATGGCCATGGCCATTGGCGACATATCATATTCCCATATGTATACAGTACGTGTATAGGAATGGCCATGGCCATTGATGACAGCTCACATTTCCATATGTACACATGTATAGGGATGGCCATGTACATTGATGACGGCTCACATTTCCAAATGTACACATGTATAGGGATAGCCATGGACATTGATGATGGCTCACATTCCCATATGTAAATGTGTATAGGGATGGCCATGGACATTGATGACTGCTCATATTCCCATATATACACATGTATAAGGATGGCCATAGATATTGATGACGGCTCATATTCCTACATGTATAGGGATGGACATTGGTGACGGCTCACATTTCCATATGTACACGTGTATAGGGATGGCCATGGACATTGATGACGGTTCACATTCCCGTATGTACACGTGTATAGGGATGGCCATGGGCACTGATGACGGCTCACATTCCCGTATGTACACGTGTATAGGGATGGCCATGGGCACTGATGACGGCTCACATTCCCGTATGTACACGTGTATAGGATGGCCATGGGCACTGATGACGGCTCACATTCCCGTATGTACACGTGTATAGGGATGGCCATGGACACTGATGACGGATCACATTCCCGTATGTACACGTGTATAGGGATGGCCATGGACACTGATGACGGATCACATTCCCATATGTACACGGTCATAGGGATGGCCATGGACACTGAGGACGGCTCACATTCCCATATGTACACGTGTATAGGGATGGCAATGAACACTGAGGACGGCTCACATTCCCATATGTACACGTGTATAGGGATGGCAATGGACATTGCTGGCTTTTCTCTTGTAAACACCAAACTGCAGAATGTTTAAACAATCTTTGCATTCCCCTTATTACAGGTTGGGCGGATAACCTCAGTGCCAACCAACAAGATGGCAGCACTAACCAGCTGCCAGAAATGTTCAACATGGAAATAAAAGAAAGCCCCCACATACATGTTTAACCCCTTGCTGCCAACATAACACATATGCATAGTTGCCAACATCTCTTATAAAATTTCCAAACACACCTTTTTTTGCTGTATATCTAGCAAGCCATTGTAGGTGGAGAATTATTTTAATTAGGGGCGGAGCATTCATTTAAAATAGAAGTGGTGCCCAATCCAGAATCAGCAATGTTGTGGCTATTGTATATAAGGTTTTAGTGGGTATGATCTGTAGGTATGGAATATAAAGGATATGGTGGCAGCCAGATGTACAGAAGAGTGTATTGTGTGGTCAGCTTCAGGGTTTATTGTTGACCTATTAGCAAGGATGTCTTTCAGTTAAGAAAGAGGAGGTGAAGTAAGCTGGGAGGGATATCTATTATCTTGTAAAAAGGGAAAGGATGGAGTTGGGTGCGAATGTCTAAGGACTGCGAAGTTATGTGTGCCAGCTGGGGGTGGATGTGGGAAGAGAGCAGAAAGAGATGTCTGTTACCTGGGGAGGGGGATGCATGAATTTAGCTGCATGTGAATGGGCATTTAGCCATGGTGCAAATCCCAGCATAAAAAAAAATCTATGGATTCCGGATGTTGGGTTTGACAGCTTTGAGTAGATAACTGTGGATGGTGAGCCCATAGACTGCAACGAGAGGCTGTCTGCAGCCAAAGCTATTTGTTACTGTTGTGGCAAATTTGCACTAACAATGGGAGGAGTTAAAATGTGTACAAAGCACAGGCGTCAAAAGTGCAGAGGTCAGGAGTGGGTAATGTACAGAGTTCAGGGATCTTAAAGCGGAGTTCCAGTCGCACTGTGAAAAAATAAACGTCAGCAGCTACAAAAACTGTAGCTGATGACTTTTAAAAAACAGCCACTTACCTGTCCCATGATCCTGCAGTGTCCTCACCACAGCTGGTTTCACCGGCCATCCTGTGTTCCCGGCACCAGCATCTTCAGTGTGGGCACCTGGCTGTGACAGCTTGCGGCTTCACAGCCCGATGCCTACTGCGCATGCGTGAGCAGCGCTGCGCTTCCTGAACGGTCCTATAGTCTTCTGGGACCTGTCACGTGTCCCAGAAGGCTACGGGGAGGGGGGTAAGAGGACAACTTATGTTTCTGATCCCCTAGGTGATCGCAGCGGAAGTGGGAACCAGTCAATTTCGGGTAACCACCCCCACCCCCGCTCCCGAAAAGTGCCAATCCTTAATGGGGAGCGGGTGACCAGTCTTTAAAGCGGAACTTCCCCTTCTGGGTGGAGCCCCGCTTTAAGTTGGTAATGTACAGAGTTCAGGGATCGGGAGTGGGTAATGTACAGAGTTCAGGGATAGGGAGTGGGTAATGAACATGGTTCAGGGCTCAGAAGTGGATAAAGAAGTGGGTTCAGGGCTCAGAAGTGGGTAATGTGCAGAGTTCAGGGATCAGGAGTGGGTAATGTACAGAGTTCAGGGATCCGGAGTGGGTAATGTACAGAGTTCCGGGGTCAAGACTGGGTAATGCACATAGATCAAGGAGCAAGATTGTGTGTGTTTGCAAGTGTTAGGAGGGGGTAATGCACAGGCAAAGGCAGTGGATTGGGCAAAAGCTGCAGTCACAGTGGGGGTATACACCTGCTGCAGCTACGATACTTGGCATCATGACGTGGCAAAAATGATCTCCCTGTTGTGGTCAGTCGTTGAACGTGACCCATTCCACTGAGTGGGGTAGGACCTCAACTGTATACAATGCATGCAGTTGCAACATGGTGATACAGGTTTTCA